GATTATTATATTGTGATTTTTATTTCTTATTTCTTATTTTTCATTTTTAACCTAATAAAAGATTAGATTATTTGGTTGATAATTGGATATAAAATGACATGTCCTTTTAACCTATACTTTTCTTACAAGTTAAAATACAACTACAACACTATTTTTAGAATCATCTATATAATTACTTAAAAGATAAATGTAATATAGTATTGATATAATAAGATTAAGTCATATATCCTTTGTAAAATTATAAAAAAACTCAAAAATAAAAAAATCCTAACTCTTCAATGTAAAAGAATAAAAAAAACGTTTCTCTCATTGTTGGATTTGATAATGTAAGTAGAATTTTAAATTTAGACACACATAATTTGTCTTACAAAGCATCCCATTACCAAATTTCATCTTAAAAATTAGAGACTCATTGATCAAAACCTCATTATTAAGCTTTTTAAACAAAATAATCAACAAAAATTCTATGGATTAATTTTTGAAATCTGATCTTCAAACCTACACTTGAAATTTTTTTTCTCCTCCTACATCTAGGTTTAATATATATTATTGCAAACTCTTCCAATATATATTATATCTCTCGGTCCAGAACATCCTCTTCTCTATTTGTAGGATTCATTCCCAATGCCATCACCTTGTTTAAAGCCCAACCTGACCAGTGGAGTTAAAAACCTGTGGGATAAATTGATGATAATCGACTGAGAACACAGAGGTGAGTAAAATTGAGCCAAAAAGCTGAGTAAACCAGGAGTGGAAGGAGGATTTAGAAGAAGAAAGGAGACACCCCAATTCATAACCAGAACTACCTGACAACCTCAACTGGTTTCAGAATATGATTTAGAGATCTGTGGTTGCATTCTTTGAAGCAAACAATAAAATTCTCCGACCATGCAAAAAAAATATACATTAATATTATTAATAACAACAATAATCGAATGGGGAAATTGGCAGCTTCTTGTTTGAATGGGTTCACCAGACGGGCTTGTTATCAAAGCAACTGGTGTACTCCATATCTTTCCTGTACTTGAGCTGTGATACTCTTGTGGTACCTTCAAAAACTGAATTACTCCTCTTCTTCTACACAGTTTACATTCATTGTCTTCATGAAAGCAAGCACAAGAATATCACAACGTCTGGGTGATAAGAATTTCTTTTGTTAATTTTTACATATGTTTTTTTATACTTTATTACTTGCAACCATCACAAATTTGGCAGCCGTAGTTGCAACTGCAGTATCCTTGCTATGTTTCACATCCATCAGATTCTCAAATGAGCTGCTGCTGCTGCTGCTGCTTAAATTGCAACAGAACCTGGGTAGTAGCACCACACGCACAACACGGGCTGCATACGACCTGAGCCTGCAACAAATACAGTTTCGATACTGCCGCCTCGGGAGTGGTCAAAGAGCATATTGCAGTCTCGTATTGACTGACCAGTTCGGATATGGTTCGGAGGAGGAGCTAGTTCCTGATCATAATGATAGACCTGATCCTGCAAAAACTTTTACTGAAGTGTAACTCCCAAACAGTAATGACAGTCTCCATATATCGCAGACATATTTCTGAACTTGGTTTATCTTATTTTTCCTTCACCAAAGGTTTAGCCCATGGCCTCCCATTCTGTCTGAGCTAATCTCGAAGTAAGCACCAGGTTAAAAAAAAAAAAAACAAAACAAAACAAAAAAAAAAAAAAAAAAAAAAAAAAAAAAAAAAACAACAACAACAACACAACACTTACCGAGCCGCTCAGTGTACCCGCATCGCAAACTGCGTCATTACGCTGCAGCAAAATGCCTTTCCAGCGCTTATGTAAAAAAAATAGAGCTTTGGAGAATAACCTGATGGAGGCTTTGGATGCTTTGGTGGATACTCCATGGATTTGGTGTACACAGTCCTTGGATGAGCTCACATTATGTTGAAGCATGAGACTGAAAGTGGATTAAAAAGCCAAATTGTCAAGAAGTACTGGTGAAGTTACCGGGAGGAGTAGCCGGGTACCCGGGCACATGTGTTGGTATTGAATTTTCTTCGACAGTGCCCCGACTTTGAAGCCCGTTTTGGACCCCATATTCAAGTAAAGATAAAAATACTTCTTCGTTGGTGTTGATCAGGCACAGAAGAGAGAGAAAAGTGAGAGAGAGGGGTTTTTAGTGAAGGATGGTAATGAGAACGAAGGTGTCAGAACGAAGGCCAGGGAAAGGACACCGTTAGCGGCAGGCGTGGGAAGCACTGGTCTGCCATGTGCTCTGTCGCTAAAGGTCCACCACCGCAGGACGAACTCTCAATAGTCAATACTCAAAACCTTCAGATACCTTTGACCGCTCAAAGACCGACTTCCATTAATTGAGCTGTTCATCCTTTGTTGAATGTATTCTCCCCCTTTCTTTTATCCCCAATCGTCTCTCTACTGTCCTAAAGGGAGTTTGCTCTGACACACTGAGACGGAATTTTGTATACCATAATGTACGTATGGAAGATTTGTACACGAATAAGTCTCGATTTTCCAGCTTTTTTTGTCTGTCGTCCATCTGGGTGGAGTTGATTCAGCAAGTCCAGTCTCGCAGTTTTACGCGATCTACGACGGTTCATCATTAGCTTCAACTATGACGAACTTTTCGACGGTGTAACTACTCCTTATACTGCATTCATAGTGTGAGATTAGAAGAGCATGTGACATGGTAAATGTTATAATGTTTCATTGAAACGCAACGACATTGGTCACTACGTTCAGTTAGATTAATAGATTACAGTTCTTCTCATCTCCACAAATGTCAAAGAGAACCGCACTAGAGTAGTGGGGAAATGGTCACGAATCACACTACATCTTTCCTAATGTAAATACCTCTGAATTCCTGTTAACTCGGGTTGCTCACAGTTGATCATACATTCTGCCGTGAAATTTTGTAACTAGTTAAGCAGGATAATACTGTTGAGGTATGAATACATCGGGGAGGTGCAATCTTCCACCCATTAGCTTCAACAACAAGATGAAATGAGGCTGTAGTTTCATAATCTTCTACATCGAGGGTTGTGTCGTCTGTCCGTTGTGCCATGTCAGGGGTGTGGGATTCACCTGCCTAGTTCCCACCGGAGCCACTCTTGACCCAGTTGAAGAATTTACCGTCCACTACCTGTGCGCAGTTTCTCATTGGTTGCAGGTAGGTAACTGCATCTCCACCTAGAGCCACTGTTCCAATGCTCACAACAGCTAACAATTGCTGACGTTGATTGGTAGCACATTTGATCAGTTAGCCATACAGCGGCATCTCGTTTCAAGCTCCGAAATGGTAACGTCATCCACGAGGCGTCGGAACAAGTATAATGCAGCGTGTAAGTTTTCTGCTGGATGGAGTTTTTTCAAACTTTTTCCCACAAATCTAGCGCTTGCAGTTGCCTCTACGACCGAAACGTGTATGTCTGGGGTTGTTATTCCGTTGGACCAGACAATACCACAAATAGACCCTGGCAGACTGGCAGCCTTGCAATCTCCAGAACGGTAACCCTGATTAGCGCCGGCAAACGTATACATCGTGAATACTTCGACAAGCGACTGTGATAGGTCCGCTGATCTCATACCCTTGGGAGTTCACGATGCTTGTCACTCGACCCTCCATGTGCTGTGGGGTGCGTATACCCATCAGGGACGGTGAGGGTCTCAGTCTGTCCCTCCCCTCTCTTCATGGTTGTTACAGGTCATAAGTACAACACCACGAAGCAAACGAGTGTTCTATCTGCTAGAGGGGGGGGCGGGGGTCTTTTGTCTTTTCTCTTTTATTTTTATTTCTTCCCATGCCCACAGGAATATAAAATTTCCAAGTAACAATATGATTTGCAATGGAGGTGGTTGAGTGTGATAACGGTGTTCACCTGGAACTGTTTAAGAAAACAGAAAGTTACCTGGATGGCAAGTCCGAGACTTGTCCTCGTGCATGGTAAGAGGTTTATTACAATTCGTAAGCGTAAGTTCACTATCTAAGAGGTACTCGGTAATGTATCCAAGAACGGGATAATGGCAGTAACGATGTAGTACCTCAAGGGGAAGGAGTACTCCAGACGTTATCTCATATTTCGCTTTCACAAGTGAAGTTCAACATGTTACTTTGACCACTCAATGATTCTTTGTTATGATTAGCTAAAGTAGCATTTGTACCCGATGGGGCTATAATTGCTGGATTGGTCAGCACAAATACAGTAAGTTTTAACAGTAAAAAGAATGTGACGATCAGAAGGGGTTCCAGATTCAGGCATATGATTTAGGAGACTCGAGTGATCATCACGATGAGGCTGATTGCTGCCATGAGCTCACTGCCACCATTCGTGTTCCTAAGATGATTGCCGTTCTCCATTCTTGATGATGGACCACAGATGTAACGCCATCAAAAGAAGACTAGGGGATCTCACAATGCATGGGTTGCTGACCGACTGCCAAGCACGACATCGCATTTATGTTTGTAGTTTTGCAAATAAAGCACATCGGATTCCTGGTAAACAACCCGATCGTGCAAGAGTTCCTAACCAGGAAAGATTTCGGTCCTATTAATGGACTGTATTAGTGCGGACCTAGAAAAAAAATCAAGTGAAGAGGGTTTCATCGCTTCAAAGACCGCATCAATGATCAAGGACCGTCTGTGTCATGCATTACACAAACTTCTCTTGAAACTTCAATTTTTCGTTGCCGCTAACATGACATGATAGTGTCTGCAGAGAATGTGAGTCCAACTGTGCCAGGTGAGTCAGATCGTTGAATAAGCTTCGTTTTCACGGTGACCTTTGATAGAACCGGCAGTTGCCATGGGCAGAGTGCCCTCATGCATCCACCAGTCATCAATAATCTGCCAGTCTACATTATACCTCATAGTATGGACAAGGTAATTGCATTAAAGCATACTGATACTCGGATGTGCATTGAGTGAGTAAAAGACAGTGAAGCCCAGTTTCTAGCACAGGAATTATCGACTAGATTGTTTCTCTGGCTAGTTCGGATTTCACTGGGTTGCGATGTTGGGAAGGTAATGTGTGTTTTTTTACAATTTTTATTCACCAGTGTGAAGTCTTTGACGTAACGGACTTTTGCATTTTCTTGCATTTCAAGCTGCAGCTTACTGTCAAAATGCATATTATCAGGGTACTTTGACTCTCTTACACACTCAACCTGGGCGTGTACGAAAACCTTTCCGAGACTCGCAAGGCGTTCCAGCTCTACTTCTATCCCACTATCCCTCCCGTTCCAAAAATACTCACGCGGACCATCTATGAGTTGATTTTTAACCCAAATGGTCTGTTGCTGATTTTGCTACTAGGTGGTTTATGATCTTCGGAACTCCCCTGCCTGAGACTCTGTTGAGTCAGTTTCAAATTCTTGCTGGAAGGAGCTTTCTCACTTCAGAATATTGAAGCTCTCTTGGGAGTACTCGATACCACCAACCAAGCGAATTGATCGATCGACAGCATGTGAGCTTTTTCGAATTTTGGTTATATACGAGAGGTCAACTGTATTTTGTTCTAGGGACGTTGATTGACTTCAATCTCGTTTTCACTTCAAGAGTAGATGTGCCGTGCACCTTCGACAACTTCTTTTAAACTTTTCGGGACGGGAGAGGCCTGCGGAAGAATCGATTCCTGAAAGCCGATATCCCTCAACGTGCTTCCCCTTCAGGTTGATGCAGCCCAACAAGCATGATAACTTCCCAGACCGTACGTTTCACTTTCTTTGTTTTTGGTAGTGGTCCTTTGTTCATGACTTCGAGTAAGACAAAACCTCAGAACAAGTCACACATGTCCCAGACAACAGAACTAATAAGGAATTTTTAAATATATTTTAAAAAACAAATAAAACAAACAAACAAACAACTTACAAACATGTAACAGCGCCTCTACTGCGCCCTTGCAATATACATCAGACACAGGGATGGGGTATGCCAATGTCGAATTTGCAAGCAGTTCCATAGATTCCAGAATAGAATGCACGTACAGAGCATTACGAACTTCGTAAGAAAATCCGAGTTCTGGTGATGATCAGCAACCAGCTGAAACTCTATAGGTAACCGAAGAACCCTGGCGATTCATGAACATCTGCAATATATCAGCATGAACTGACGATGCGCGACCCAGATGAGGGATAAGACTACTACGGAGGGAGGACTGTACAATCTCGACAATCTCGACAATCTCGACAACAGCTTTTTATGAGGGTGAATGTCATTGAGAAACAGAGCAAAAAATGTATTTCAACAAAGGAGATTGAAACGTCCAGATTCAACAGTACCTAGACTACAATTGTAGTGTGTAAATAAAAATGTAGCTCGAACAAACCTCAAAATGGGAGACGCAAGAATATGAAAGATTCTGTGCGCTAAGTGAATAGACTAGTGTGCGTGGTCCTCGAAGCAAGTTCTTCTGTATCTGCAACTAAAAGGAACGCGGAACCCATTTGTTCACAAACCCATCCTGATATTCTAGCTAACATGTAACACCAGAGTGTCTGACTTATTAATTTCTGTACTCCCAAACCCTAAGGGACATCTCACAGCAGCACGCTCAGTTGGATTCCTATCCAACGCTACTGGTACATGTATGTTACAGAATGCAACCTCCACTTCCTACCTTCTACTCTTCTCTGGCTGGTCACAGAAAGCAAAGCAAGGAGGGCGTCGTACGCACTTATTCGTATTTGTCCAAGCGGCCTCCGCCGCCTCTTGCCTCCCCTTGGTCTCCAAAGCTCAGAGATTCACACACGCTAGGCGCCGCGATCCGAAATAGATGATACAGAAGAAACCCCAAATTTTAAACCGTATGCATCCCAATCCACCAGCTCGGATTGGTACAGTGATGTATAACCCATTGAATGTCTGCGGATGACTACCGAAGCCAAACCATTTTTTACTCTTCAGGTGCTCGTGGAACTAGACATCGGGAGATCATGAGAAAGGCTTACACACGGACCAAAATATGATGCTTTGGAAGTGAGGAGACCAACCCCACGCCGTTAGAAAAACAGCATTGTTGTGGACTTATCGCCAAAATAGTAAACCTTCTTCACAGAGATGGCTCTGAACCTTGCTTGGGACCGCCGCGCTCTGCACTGCTCCCATTCTCAGGGCTGGAGAAGAAATGCGCAGCGGCGCTCGGAGTGCCGTTTCCAGAGGAGGCCGCATTCTGCACGGCCTCCGCAGCCGCAGGGAGCATCTTCAGCATCTCCGAGTCGCCTGCTTTGGCACCAGCTGCAGCTTCGGTCCGATGGGCCAAGGGCACAGCTTGGTGGTCAACAAAGTCACGGGCCGGCGAGTCGGCCGCCTTCGCCGCCTGCTTATTGCTGGGGGTACCGAGAACACCTTGACGATACAATACCTCTAATTGATGGAAATAAGGACAAGTCTTGGCATTTTCAGGTCGCTTCTTATTACTCTCCTTAGTCTTTCTAAAATACTTGTTGATGTTCTCCCATTTCTCTTTACATCTCTTCTGGTTCCTGTTGTATCCCAAACAAGCCATACCCTGACTAATCTCCTCCCACAGTGGACCCTTCGGCCCCGCCTCCTGAAACCTCGTCTCCATGTCGCTCCGCAATTTAATCAGTGTTAGAACTTCCGGTTTCGGCCACCTCTTACTGTTGGGATCTATAGGGGAATCCTTGTCATGGTCGTCTACATTGGAAACTACTAGTTGTTGAGAAGTAGTGGTAGGAGGAACAGCAGGTGCTGAAGTAGTAGGAGGAGGGGTAGGCTGATGCTTTTGAGCAGCCACTACGGAATCTATCGACGGAGGAACGGCGACTACGGGAGGTCGCGTAGGGAACTGCGGGAGCTGGAGGGTTTGCCCAGTTACCTTCTGCAAGAAAGCCACCAAGGCCGCGTCTCTCGTTGCAGCTAGGGCTTGCTCTTGAGCCCGCAGCTCATGCTCCCGCGCCAAGCGGGTCATTTCCTGCCGTCTCCACGCTTCCTCCCAGACCTGTCTGTCTTGCTCCCGCCTTTCCATGAATTCCAAGAACTTCCGCTGCATACTTTCCTGTTTATCCATTAGATTCTTCATCAGCGACTCAAAAAAGTCGAGCTTGGACGTCCCAGACTTCCCCCCTTCCATACGCTTCCTTTTCTTCGACGACTTCTCCTGGTTATCAGCTTCACCACCCCCAGGCTCGTCGTAATCATCCTCAGACGACTCTGATAGTGTCACACCTGTACTAACTTCTGACGGCCTCTGAGTCGAGACATTGTAATCCTCGTTTACGACTTTGCCTGGAATAGCGGATCCTGTGAGGAGATTGGCAGCTGCCACAACTGCAGCATTACTCTCCAATTGCGCAGAAGTCTGCTGTCCCCCATATAGAGCTTCCAGTTGACTAAAGAACCGGTAGCTTTTCCCATCTTGCCTCCCAGCCCTACCATCCTTAGTCTTCTTGTAATACTTGTGCACATTCTCAAATTTTTCCTTGCATTTCTTTGCACTTCTACTGTACCCAAGCTCGGCAAGCTTTCTGCAAGACCAAAACCCCAACCAATCAAACTCCGCTTAAAACCTCAATCGAATCACAAACTCACTGCTCAAATCCAATGATTGAAGTACATTCTGATCGAATTGGTGAAGAAGATAATTATCCAGACAACTAATATCAAGAATTCGACGTGAATAGCATCTAAAGCTAACTTGAGCTCAGGGAAGTGACATCTAACACAAAACTTATTCTTTTAGCATCAATTTGTACACGAGCCCAAACTTGCAAATCGGGGGACTTGAGGGAGCTGATTGCATTAATGAGTACTTGTGGCAGCCGGATAACAACTGAACAACCGATAAAAACCAACAAACAACCAAACTGCGGCAATGACGCTGAAGGAGCTGCAATCTTCCAGTTGGATGAGCAAGTGGCCACTTACTTTGAAACGTCTTCCCAGAGCGGTCCCTTCAGTCCAGAATCCCGGAAGTTAGCATCCATGTCCGACCGGATCTTTATGAGCGCAAGAGTTTCCTGCCTGGGCCACCGATTGCCGCCTGTACTCCTCCCCTCCTCCTCAAGACCATCGTCATCCTGCGCCGGGTTAACAATCTGCTGCTGGCTGTAATTCGTGGGCGAGGGTCGACTCACCCCCGGCGAAGGAACCTCCGGCGAGTCTGGACCCCCCAAACCTAACTGCTGCACCATCTGCTGCTGCGCCTGTTGCGCTTGTTGCTGGGCTTGCTGAGCTTGTTGAGCTATCTGCTGCGCCTGTTGCTGGGCTTGTTGTTGCTTCTGCTGTTGAGCCTGTTGATGCTGCTGGTGCTGAGCAACATCCTGATGAGTAGATGAAACATGAGCTTGGGCAGGTTGTTGCTGCTGCTGCTGCTGCTGTTGCTGCTGCTGGGCTTGTGGGTGTTGCGCCAGCGGGAATTGCGGGTGTTGAGGGTGTGGGGCGTGGGTAGCATGAGAGGACTGCGTTTGGTGGATTTGCTGGTGAGCTTGTAAGCTAGGATGAGGCTGGTGACCCGGGTGTGGGCCGTAGTGGTGGTGTTGTGCTTGCAAGTGATGGGGGAGGTGATGTTGTTGCTGGTGATGGCCAGGGAGCGGATGACCAGCTGAGGAAGTCGAAATGGACATATTGTCATGCGAGATTGCGAATATGTGAGGAGGCGGTCTCCCCACCACAAACTGTGGCGAGTCCGAGACTCCATATTGCCCCGTGTTTTGCATCCTGTCGAGTCAGTTCCACACACCCAACTCACGAGCGAAGGCAGAAGAACCACCCTCTCCTTTAGCGAGACCTGTTCACTCGACGAACCTCTACTACCAATCTACCCACCTCCGCAAGACAGCGTCAGTCCACCCTCCACCCCGTCGCGGTGATCCAAGGCAACTCACACGCATACCACTCTCATCGACACCATCCGCCGCGCATATCCCATGTCTCACTGTTCCAACTGCGCAAAAGATCCTGTAACCGCCACAGCCCAAGCCCACTGGCTTGGTCTCTCACGTCTCCCACCCTCCCAGTCTAAACTAGGTGAAAACGATCACCCCTCGTCACCTCCAGACCTTCACCACAGCATAAAAGGATCCACTCACCTTTCTCAACTCCCGAATTTCTACTCCCATTCACAAGCCCTCCCCTACTACACGCGCCTGGAAAACCTTATGCTAACACATCAATCAATAAAATAAACGCCCCCACTTAAAAACTTTTCCTCTCAACTCAGTCACTCACTCGCTCCCTCTCTCTCTCTCTCTCTCTCTCTCTCCCTCTCTCACTCTCTCTCTCTCGGCTTTCTTCCCAGTTACGTTCTTTCCTCCGTCCTTCCTCGTTGCGTCCTACTGTGCCCTCACGTAGGGCAGGCACCAGGGAGCCTGCAGTAAAGGCTAATGCGGTGACGAGCTTGCTTGAGTGCCAGCCTACGCCTTTGCAAGACCTCTCTCTATTGTTCACTGGCGGAGACCCGACCCGACCAGACCAGACCCGACCCGACCCGGACCGACTGTTTCCACTTTCCACTCTCACTGGAATCAGCAATCGAGGAAAACTAACAAGGGGTTATGGAGACGATGATCGACATCATCATCGTCGTCATCATCATCACTGGCCCAGACTTAGTAAAAAAAAGTATATAAATACGTAAAAGAAAAGAAAAGAAAAAAGAAAAAAGAAAACCACTCCCCTTGCAGCACTATACCCATCCCACCCCCCTGGTGCGACAATCCTCTCATTGTCATCAGCGACATCAATCCGTGAGCCTCGCATCCATCACTTCAGGTGGAGTCTCGTTGCCTCTATCCCTCTCTCTCTAGATTGTTTGTGTCCATCGGACCCAACCAAAGCCCGCAACGGAGCCAGCCACGCGAGGCAACACTCCATCCAAAGACTATTCGCTGGACCCCACAATCCAGTAACTTTAGTAGAATCATCTCCCCTTTTCCCTTCTCTCATTCTCCCTCTCCCGCACTGGAACGGGCGGCTCAGATGCGGTCAGCGCGGGCAACGGGGCCGGAGGTCCTGGAATGGAAATGGTCTTGATGAGTAGTTGGCACATTCGGCCCATCTGGCAAATTCTAGCCCGAGTATTATGCGCGCTACAGTGGGGCGCTATTTTTACTGCGCTGCTGCGAGACTTGGTGATGCTGCTGCTGCTGCTGCTGTTGCCCCTCCCCTTGCCCCCGTCACCCTGCTGCGCCTCGTCACATCCATTGTACAACTCATCAGTAAAAGTAACAAAAATGAACAGTGGGATACAGAGCAGACCCAAACATTTTTTCCGTGATGGATGTAATCTGAACCAGTTTTTCTTTTAACCTCACATGCGCTTGAAAGCATTTCGTGCATTCATTTTGGAGTGCAAGTACGTGAAAACTAATGTTGTTTGGGAATTTTTTGGCTAAGTTTTGTTCCTTCAGTGTGTGATGTAAATTCAGAGAAGTTTGGATTCTAGACCAGTTCAGGATGTCCTTTGAGAAGAGAATTGAGATGTCAGTGACTAGATGATGGAGATGATTATCCTATTTATTTCATTGTTTGGCACCGTTGTGAACCACTGAACCTAACTCTAAAATGTGAATTTTGTTTCTACTAAAGTGCATTGTCTTTCAGTCCCCCTGTGCAATTGGTAGAAATCTAATCTTTCTGGTATAAAATAAATGTGTGAATCCAAACTCATTTAGATCATATCCACAAATGAATCAATGTTTTACCAATAATATGCATATATTGGTGAAAACGCACTTTATGGCAACCCTTCAACTTTCAGAGATGTATAGTTGTTTATTGTAGACTATATTCTGGTTGTGTAATAGTTATACCATAATAAATCATGATTTTAGATAAGTCCATCTCATAAAGGATTTGATAAACTAGTCAATCTATTTGGTCTTAAATATCTTTTCTGCCAAATATCTAGAAAAATATTATACTTTCTGAGAAAAATAATACTGAAAAAAAGACCAAGACAAGAAAAAAGTCAATTCTGTGCATCAATTTTGTTCCAATTTCACACCAAAACATTTTGGTATTACATTCTAAAATTTTAAATAAATTTTAATTTGATTTCATATCATTGATTAAATTTTGGAAAACCACAGCTCATTTCACAATTTTACCAAAATTACTACTATTTACAACATTAAAGGATTATACAATGAACATATTCTTCCTTTACATGTCTATGATCTTTTCCTTATTTTGTATTCAATGCAATGCTGGATTTCCAACTTCTGGACAATGCATATGTGAAAATAATCATATTGTTTCTGGTTATTGAATGAACAATGGAACAATGTCAATGCATTCATATTCATTTTAACCAAATTCAATATGAAAAACTACATGAATCACAGTACATTGATGTTGTATTCCACATTTGAAAAACTAACCATAGTTGTTAAAACAAAAACATGGCTTGGAACCAACCAGAATCATTTGAAAAACCAACCATTTGATCAAAGTTCAAAGTTGTGTTTTTGTTTTAATCTTAACCAAGTGACTAAATCACAAACATGTACTTTTATTAAAACACAGCACAGTATATACACAGAAAAATAACAATAATTTGCACAAATGTATATCTCAACATTCCAGAACATTTTACACCAATAAGATAAATGCAAACTAACAGTAATTTTTTTATATGTGATAATTTCATTTTGATATAATCACATTCTAAAATTTGAGTACATCAATGCAAAGACCAGTTATAGCAAGGGACCAAGTTTCCAAGCTAGCAAGAGATTAAAAGCTTGAAGGAGCAAAATTAATAAGAGTCAGTGATTTGGAACTGGGTCATCATGTGAAGGATGGAGAGATTCCACCCCACACCCACAGAATAGAAACTATCACATGGTGTTGTGGATTTTGTGAGGGATCCTTGGCAATGGGCCCCTCCCCAACCCCATTATATTCAGAACAAAGAATCCCACCCCCATTCCAACCCTCCCCTACTGCAATAAAAACCCCCAAATGGAGTCTGCTGTCAGGGTGAACAACACCTAGTTTAACAAATCCCAAGCCTTTTTAGTGTGAGCTCTGTTTGGGGAGAATTGGAAGTTAGGAGCAGTAGTCAGCTGAAATTAGCACTAAGTGACTCTCGAGCTTTGAATTCTGGTGGGACAGAATCTCACCCACAAGAAGTAGAAGAAGTAGAGGTGCCAAAAACCACTGTTCCAAGTTTATCTCACTCACTCACTCTCTCTCTCACACACACATGGGGAGGGTTTTTTTCTTTTCTTTTCTTTTCTTTTTCTTCTTCTTCTTCTTCTTCTCTCTTTGCAACTGTATTATATTCATTTTTATCTGTCTATTCATACATCCACACATAAGTGCAGTAGGGAACCACTGGCCAGCTCAATGGGGCAGTGAATTAATGGGTTTCAATCAATCTGAGTTCCAGAACTATCAGTCTCCTATAGTGTTCAGGAAATCAGATGAACCTAGCAGGACAGAAGTAACTTAGAAAAAGGGTATATCATGAGTGGGCAGGGTGGTGTTAACTCACAGCAAGAGAAGGGAAATGAAAGGAAAGGAAAGGGGGAATGATAGAGCATGAAGTGGAGGTGTGGTGTCAGAGCTTGCAGCTTGGAGTTGCAAAGAGAATCAACCAAGTATACTGTGGGAAGAAAGATATAGAGGCTGAAATCAATGGATGGATGGTAACACATGAAACTGATGATGGCTAGGCCCCCCAGGCTAGTCTGATAATGAGTTGATGAGTTGATGAGTTTCAATGCAACACCACTTTTCAAAGCTGCCAACCCTTTTACAAAAAATAAAAATAAAAAAATAAAAAAATCTTATGATTACAAAAAACTTAGGGTCCTCAAAGGTTTAGTAAGTAAGACTTCTGGAATAAATGTTTGGCATTGTTGTTGGTGTTATCAGTAAGAGTAGCCACAAATAGGAAAATTACAGACAGTGTTAAAGAAATCCAGACTCATTGGTTAATTATGCAGCAAGTTAGTCCATGTATTGTGTGTGTGGGGGAGAGATTGTACAAAAGGGGTTGGTTTTCTCCATGTTCCAGTTCCTGAACAGAGGGGGGCTCATTAGAATCTTACGGCTTTTCTTATTATTCTGATTATTATTTCTACTACTACTACTATGACCAGTCCACATTGTACCCTTCCGCTTCTTCTTCTTCTGCTTCTTCAACCCTCTTTATTTCTGTTTTTAGGTTGTCCCTTGGGGGGGGCCTGTCAGATGAGACCAGGGTGATGGATGGATCAAGAGGTAATCAAAAAATCAAGCTCCCAAGCATGGACAGTGAGAGTGACAGAAGTGGCCCCCCCAGGAACCTCACTCACTATTACCAATGGTCCTGGCAGGAGGCAAATCCCCAGCTACCCAAAAAGGAGCTAACCCCATCATTTATAAAACCGCACCAATATCAAACTGCCTTCACACATTCACACACACTCACTCCCTCTCACTCTCTTGAGAAAGAGTAAAAAAAACAAAAACAAAAACAAACAAAGGAAATTCAGAAGCAAGCAAGAGCAAAGAAAGAAGGCCACAGTGATGCAGGCAGTGTAAGTGGGTGAGTGAAGGGTGTTGGGATGTGGAGCCATGTAGTGCAGGCAGAGTTTTGGTTTGAAGTCAAATGAGGGCTCTTAATTACCCTGAGAGACAAATTGGATGTTGGCCCCAGTTTGTTGGTTTCATGCTATTGTCTACTAGCCTGCAATTTTCCACAGAAGAAGAAAGAAGAAACCAGTCCTGCACTTTGACTTCGCAGGGGGGGTCAGGAAGAGTAGGAGCCAGTGCCTGCATCTTCACACACTCCCACTCCAATTGCTCATGTAAACTTCAGTAATGGCTTGGTTAGTTAGTTAACCCATGGTTTTAGGATTTCCACCACCTCCACCACCTTTACCAAAATGAATTGAATGCATTTAAAGCAAATAGTGTAAAATTTTCTCCCCAGGGCTCTTTTAATACAACTAGGGAATAGATAGAGGATGAAGTGGCCATAGATGCTTCTAAGGAGGGCAACATCACCCAGCAGCAATAACACTGGGTACCCACAAACAGAATTACAGCTCTGAGCCTCTGATAAGTACAGGGGGGAGGAAGGGGCATGACAAGTCCAGAGCATTCAATGCTCCTGTTGACTCCAGGTACTGCACAAGAGGATTCCCCCTTCTTGACCCCCCCCAATTACACTTGTATGATCATACATATACATATATATACATATAGTATATAAGTTTATATAAGTATAGTTTTAGATGTCCATATACATGTACATACACATATGTGACAAGAAAGAAAGGAAACAACATAAAAACACAGAAGGTAATAGCCAATGTCAACAAAGCACAACACCTCAACCCAGTTGTGGGGTTAGTCAAGTCTGTCCTCCCCCCCCCCTCCATTCAGCATCAAGTATGCATGTGACTCTGGCAAATCTGAATAGCTCTGCTCACAAGGTTAGCAGACCTACACAGACAGACTCACTCACTAACAAGTACACACCCAAATCCCTTTACCCCCCTC